CCTGATCAAAACTCTTCAGATGGTAGGCATAGAGGGAACATTCCTCAGCATCTTAAAAGCCATCTACGAAAAGCCCACAGCAATTATCATTCTCAATGGGGAAACCCTGGGAGTCTCTCCTAAGATCAGGAACAAGACAGGGATGTCCACTCTCACCACTGCTATTCAACATAGGACTAGAAGTCCTAGCCTCAACAATCAGGCAACAAAAAGGAACAAAAGGCATTCAAATTGGTAAAGAAGAAGTCAAACTCTCTCTCTTCGCAGATTACATGATACTGTACTTAGAAAACCCAAAAGAGTCCACCCCAAGATTGTTAGAACTCCTACAGCAATTTGGCAGTGTGGCAGGATACAAAATCAATGCCCAGAAGTCAGTGGCATTTCTATACACTAACAATGAGACTGAAGAAAGAGAAACTAAGGAATCAATCCCATTTACAATTGCACCCAAAAGCATACGATACCTAGGAATAAACTTAACCAAAGAGGTAAAGGATCTATACCCTAAAAACTACAGAACACTTCTGAAAGAAATTGAGGAAGACACAAAGAGACGGAAAAATATTCCATGCTCATGGATTGGAAGAATTAATATTGTGAAAATGTCAATGCTACCCAGGGCAATTTACATGTTTAATGCAATCCCTAGGGCAGCCCCGGTGGCTCAGTGGTTTAGCGCTGCCTGCAGCCCAGGGCATGATCCTGGAGACCCTGGATTGAGTCCCACGTCGGGCTCCCTGCATGGAGCCTTCTTCTCCCTGTGTCTTTGCCTCTCTCTCTCTCTCTCTCTCTCTCTCTCTCTCTCTCTCTCTGTGTGTGTGTGTGTGTGTGTCTCTATGAATAAATAATGCAATCCCTATCAAAGTACTATGGACATTCTTCAGAGAGTTGGAACAAATTATTTTAAGATTTGTGTGGAATCTGAAACGACCCCGAATAGCCAGGGGAATATTAAAAAAAAAAAAAAACGTATCTGGGGGCATCACAATGCCAGATTTCAGGTTGTACTACAAAGCTGTGGTCATCAAGACAGTGTGGTACTGGCACAAAAACAGACACATAGATCAATGGAACAGAATAGAGAATCCAGAAGTGGACCCTCAACTTTATGGTTAACTAATATTTGACAAAAAGGAAAGACTACCCACTGGAAAAAAGTCTCTTCAATAAATGGTGCTGGGAAAATTGGACATCCACATGCAGAAGATTGAAACTAGACCACTCTCTTGCACCATACGCAAAGATAAACTCAAAATGGATGAAAGATCTAAATGTGAGACAAGATTCCACCAAAATCCTAGAGGAGAACACAGGCAACACCCTTTTGAACTTGGCCACAGTAACTTCCTGCAAGATACATCCATGAAGGCAAGAGAAACAAAAGGAAAAAGATCTATAAAGAACTTATGAAACTCAACAGCAAAGAAACAAACAATCCAATCATGAAATGGGCAAAAGACATGAATAGAAATCTCACAGAGGGAGACATAAGCATGGCCAACAAGCACATGAGAAAATGCTCCACATCACTGGCCATCAGGGAAATACAAATCAAAACCACAATGAGATACAACCTCACACCAGTGAGAATGGGGAAAATTAACAAGGCAGGAAACCACAAATGTTGGAGAGGATGTGGAGAAAGGTGAACCCTCTTGCACTGGTGGTGGGAATGTGAACTGGTGCAGCCACTCTGGAAAACTGTGTGGAGGTTCCTCAAAGTTAAAAATAGATCTTCCCTACAACCTAGCAATTGCACTGCTGGGGATTTACCTCAAAGATACAGATGCAGTGAATTGCCGGGACATCTGCACCCTGATGTTTATAGCAGCAATGTCCACAATAGCCAAACTGTGGCAGGAGCCTTGGTGTCCATCGAAAGATGAATGGATAAAGAAAATGTGGTCTATGTATACAATGGAAAATTACTCAGCCATTAGAAACGACAAATATCCCCCATTTGCTTCGACGTGGATGGAACTGGAGGATATTATGCTGAATGAAGTAAGTCAATCGGAGAAGGACAAACATTATATGGTCTCATTCATTTGGGGAATATAAATAATAGTGAAAGGGAATAGAAGGGGAAAGGAGAAAAAATGAGTGGGAAGTATCAGTAAGGGAGACAGAACATGAGAGACTCCTAACTCTGGGAAATGAACTAGGGGTGGTGAAGGGGAGGTGGGCGGGGGGTGGGGGTGACTGGGTGACAGGCACTGAGGGGGGCACTTGATGGGATGAGGACTGGGTGTTATTCTATATGTTGGCAAATTGAACACCAGTAAAAATAAATTTATAAAAAAATTTTAAAAAAAAGTTTTTTGCAGAGCTCATTTGGTGGTCACATATTCTTTTAGTTTCTGTCTATCTTGGAAGCTCTTTATCTCTCTTTCTATTCTGAATGAGAGCTTTGCTGGATAAACTATTCTTGGCTGCATATTCTTCTCATTTAGGACCCTGAATATATCCTGCCAGCCCTTTCTGGCCTGCCAGGTCTCTGTGGAGAGGTCTGCTATTAACCTAATACTTCTCCCCATAAAGGTAATGGATCTCTTGTGTCTTGCTGCTTTAAGGATCTTCTTTTTATCTTTGGAATTTGCAAGTTTCACGATTAAATGTTGAGGTGTTGAACGATTTTGGTTGATTTTAGGGGGGGGATCTATCTCCTGGATCTGAATGCCTGTTTCCCTCCCCAAGTTAGGGAAGTTCTCAGCTATGATTTGTTCAAATACACTTTCTGGACCTCTGTCCCTTTAGGTGCCCTCTGGAACCCCATTTAAGCATAGATTTTTCCTTCTGGGGCTGTCATTTATTTCCCTTAACCTATCCTAATGATCTTTTGTTTTTCTCTTTTTTCCTCAGCTTCCTTCCTTGCCATCAACTTGTCTTCTATGTCACTCACTTGTCCTTCTACCTCGTTAATCCTCATCGTTAGGACCTCCAGTTTGGATTGCATCTCATTAAATTGATTTTTAATTTCGGCCTGATTACATCTAAATTCTGCAGTCATGAAGTCTCTTGAATCCTTTATGCTTTTTTCTAGAGCCACCAATAGCTTTATAATTGTGCTTCTGAGTTGGCTTTCTGACATTGAACTGTAATCCAAATTTTGTAACTCTGTGGTAGAGAGGACTGTTTCTGATTCTTTCTTCTATGGTGAGTTTTTCCTTCTACTCATTTTGCTCAGTGCAGAGTGTCTAAAAACATGTTGTACTGAAAAAAGGAGAAAAAGAGAGAATAAAAGGGGTGGGGAAGAAACAGAAAACAAAAAACAAGGAGGGTATCCTCTGATTTTATATACTCTAAATCCCTTGACTTCCCCTGGAACTTTCCAGCGCTGCTTGGTCAAGAACTTGCTTTTCCCCTGTCCTTCCAGCTGGTCTTCTGGGGGAGGGTCCTGCTGTGCGGATTCTCAGGTGTGTGCACCTGGGGGAGCTGCCCAGCCCCCCGCAAGGTGAACGGCTCAGTGGGAGCTGTTTATCCTGTGAGGCACCTGGTCCCTCACGGCCCTGCTTAGTCCCAGGTACAAGGTGACACCAGGAGGAACAACAGTGGCAGCGTTCAGCTTTCCAGCTCTGGAGTCAGCTTCCGCAGTAACTACTGCAGCTCCCAGTCCACAGGTTCCTGGATGCTCCGGGGGCGGGGGCCGCCAATCTGCACAGCTCGGGGCCACCCGGCAGCAGGAGTGTCCTTGCTGCCCTGTGTCCTCCTGGCCTCCGCCTGTCCCAGGGGGAGCGCTGGATCCTGGCTGTGTTCCCAAGCACCCTGGGCTCCGGGATCTGCACCGCTGGAATCCCGCTCCCTGGTCCGCGCAGCCCCCTCCACACGGAGCCGCAGTCTGAGCTGCTCCCAGGGCCCAGCTGGGTGCACATTCCAGCCCTTTAGGGAGCTCAGCCGGCAGTGTGTGGTGAGCTCTCCCCCAGGGCACAGTTCCTCTGTTAGTGCCTCTGGGAGCCCGTGAGCATCCCTGCCCCTCCTGGGATCCTGCCCGAGTTCCCTGAGAACGCCTTTCCGTACAGGAAGATTGGTAGTTTCTGCTTCTCTGGGATGGGGCTTTCTCATCCTGGAGTCTCTTGCTGCCTGGCCTTAGCTTGGCTCCTTGCGGGGCCCCCTCCCCCTTGGATGCTTTTTATTTTATTTTTTCCCGTCTTCATACCTTGATAGAAGTGCGAACTCTTCTCACTGGAGCATTCCAGCTCTTCTCTCTTTAAATCTCAGGCCGTATTTGTAGGTTTTCAGGATGATTTGAAAGTTATCTAGGTTGGTGGGGACAGTTGACTTGGGGACCCTACTCTTCTGCCATCTTGCCCCGCCTCAGAAATGTCTCCTCTTGACAGAAGATAAGGTCCAAAAGAGATTCTGGCATGCTACTCCAAGCAGCTTTCCAAATTTAGACTCTAGAAAGCTGCCTAATTATGAAAGTAGAGCCATATTGGGGTTAAAAATCCTAATTCTCTGTTTGTCATCCAGGAAGAAACAAAGAAAGCCAAAAACCTGATATACGGACCAAGGGTATTAGCCCACCCTCCCAGCTGCCCCAGGTCTGAACACTGAGGCCTGTCTGCCCAGTAGGGTTCTATCTCTTCGAACTGGGCACCAAGGCCACCCCCCCCCCACCAAAGGATCCTCCTTATACAGACTCATCCTTCAATTCACACCCTAATTCAATTCTTCTTCTCATGAAGAGAAAGTCTCTCAACTAGAGAAGGAAATTGGATAACTTAGATCCTTGAGGCACAGGGTAAAAAACATCCCTGGGCTATGCATGGAGCTCCTGAACAATAAGAGGGGAGGGGAACCATTTTAACAACAAACATTATTTTTTTTATTAAATTTCACTCAAATACTATAATAATTTCTTTTCTTTCATAAAAAACTTAAATATTTATAAGATTATCAATATGAGAAAAGACAAATAAAAGAGTAAAAATAAAGAAAAGTGATCAAGAGAAATTCAAAGAGAATAAATAACAGCTTATTTAAATGCCTGACTGGACCTGGTGGTTGCTGCCAGAGTGCCAGATCCTCAGCCTCAGAATTAGCAGTAGTTCAAAATCTCCTCTAGCTTCAACATGTCCAAGGGAGGTATTTTGGTGACTTCGAAGAAGACCCTGCAAAAGAAAGAGGGGGGGGTGTGCTTAGTGTAAAATAGGCCAAAGAAAAGAGACTCCATGGAACAAGTGGGACACAAGGCTCTTGTTTTCCTATCTTGGTTTAACCCAAAAGCAGAAAGTAAGGTGAACAGCACTGAATCTTTCTTTTTCCTTACATGAGGCTAGTCTGTGCCTCCCCCCATGGCTGAGCACAAACCCATCCTCAACTGGAGCTTGGTACTTACTGGTGAGAATACTTGGAATACACAGTCTTGAGCTTATTGGAAGGACGCAATGTCAGCAGGATGTTTAGCTGCTTGACCAAGGGGTGAAGATCAGAGGTCTTATAGCCACTGTAATACTCCAGGGCAGGAACCTGGAAGAAGCAACACGAACAGTGACTTTCACCACAGGAAGCAGATCCTTCCTCCATCTCTACTATCCCAAGTCCAAACTCTTCCTATACATGGTACAGGCAGAGAAGAAAGTCAAGCATTTTAAAAACACATACAGCACAAGTATAGAGCACCCTCCTAGAAGACTTGGCTCTAGCCGCAAACTAATGGTATGGCTACCCATATGTATGTAGGTACCATAGTACCAGCTGGATATTAGCCCTGGTTGTAGGTATTCATGTAAGCTGAAATCCACTAAATAATCTAAGGAACACAACTGACTTTGTAATTTACTCACTCTCAGGTCAAGAGCCAATGGCCAGGCAAACCTCAAAACAAACTTAAGATCCCAAGTCAACAGACAACAGGAATTGAATGCAGCTCCTCTTCTCAAGCTCTAAGAGTTATCATTCCATGCATTTATTTTCTCATTCAGTCTTAAGGGAGCCTATTATGGGGCAGAAGTGATACCGCAGAATGTTTGAGAGCAAAGGCTCCAGGGGCAAATGGCTTGGGTTCAAATTTTAGCTCCACCAACAGCATGGGGTTGAGCCCATTATTAACTTCTTGGTGCCCCAGTTTCCCTCTAGGCCAAATGGGGATAATTATAGTAATGGCATCATAGGATTAAATGAGTTAAGGTATACAAGGCACACAGAACAGAGCCTAGCACAAAATAAGTACCCAAACAATGCTAGCTAGGATTATTACCAAGCCCTGTGTGTATAGGCTGCTGTGAATACAAAGATGACTAAGGCCCCTTCCCCTTTAAGGAATATGTAGTGGGGGAGACAGACATGCGCACAGAGAATTACAGAATGTGTGGGAAGGTCTACGGTGGAAGTGCAAGCCCAAATGTCTACCTGAAATTGGGAATGAGAGCTAACAAGCCCACCAGTTTTGATCCCTTCATCTTTTACATGCTCCCTTAGACACTTCTACAGGAATCCCAGTGTTCTACCAGGTATTGTTTAGAATACACTGCCATAGGTAAAGGGTAATCTTTGGCAGGCTGAGCAGGGGAGTAACACATGGGTAACATATTATATTGGGTGTGTCAAATAAGATTAATGGCCCCATTGTCACCGCACAGCAGGCCCCAAGTGCTTCATCTTAAGTATTATGAAAGCCTACTCACTGGTGTTCCCACTTTTATACTAACTCTCATTTAATTCACCTCCTATACTGCTATACCAGTGCTATTTCCAAAACACACAAAGACAAGTAGGTCACTCCCCTGCCTCAAAACCTTCCAATGCCTTAATATAAAGTAGGTCCCTCTACTCGGCATCAAAGATCTCTCACAATCTGACTACACTATACCATACTGGTCTCATCTCTCACCACTCCCTATTAATATACCCTCTGCTCTATCTATAGGAAGTGTCACATTCTGCCCCCCAATACAACACATTCCTCTCATTGCCTTTACATCCTGTCAATTATCATTCCCTCTACCTAAAATGTCTTCTCTTACAGGTTCCTATACATCTTTCAAGACCCAACTCAAAAGTCACCTCCTCTGTGAAGCCCTTCTTATCTATAGAAGCAGTACACATATAGCATAGAGGACTATGGGGTCATATTACTGGGTTCAGATTGGGACTGACACTTAGCCAATACTGTCTGGCACAACCATGCCAAGTATTAAAACACAGAAATATTTCTACAAGTAGTTTGCTGCCCTGAGTCCCTTAGTTGTTCCCTTAGAACCTATCACATTTCCCTAGGATCCAAAGATCAAAGCCTAGCACAGCATGGGGCGTCCAGGGCTAGAGTTCCAAAGCTGTGGCCACATCAATTCTGATTATACGATAGGCATACAATTTAAACACTACTCCTAATCCCCAAAGACTAGCTCTGCCTCTCATTAGCAAAATATGGGAAGTTATTTCTTATTTGTAAAGTAGGAGTAATAGTAGTGATCTTATAAAGATTAAATGAGTTAATACACAGGGTGCTTAGATCACTGTCTGAGCACTGAATAAATGCTAGCCATTTTTTCCCTTTTCATTATCATCACTGCCATTGACTGAATGCTTTCCCTGTCCCAAGACACTTCAGTATGACTTGTCCAAGTTCACACAACTGTTGATAGGAGTCTTTCTCGGTACACAGAGGTTTTCCCAACAGTAGTGGCTGCTGGATTTCTAGGCTGGAGTGAGTTTTATTTGCACTGGGGAAGGAGGTTTTAGGGGCCTTCCTCTTCAGAGAAGACCACTATACTATACCTCTGAGTTGCCCATTATACACATGGTCAGCTGCTTTCACAACTTTGTTCTCCGGGTCTGTGTTTCTCAAATTCTGTTCCAATGAGCTCTCTTGGGGGGAGTGGGGGAGGGCAACTTTGCTGGGAGGACTGCAAGGGGCAGGGGCAGAATGGGGTCAGGTAAGAAGGCAGCCCATCCCACTGCCTGCTGCAACCAGAATTATTCCATAGTCATCTGTTTTCTGATACTGGACTTTTAAGTAAGCTTTTTTAGGAACAAAGCTTTACTGTGACTAAGAAAAATAAAATTATTAAAACCCATTGCTGTAAAAACCCTTCAGGCAGCCAGGCTCCTAACACGTTGAGATGTCAAAGAATTTATAACTATGGGTACATGCCAATTTTATCACCAAGCTTCCCATGACCCTAACTTTACACCTTCCTCCTGAATTTACCCTGTGGTTTCTTGCTTTTAACTGAAGTACTGGTAACATACAATACTACATTAGTTTCAGGTGTATAACATAGTGATTCAGCATTTATATACATTACAAATTGTGCTCGCCATGATAAGTATAGTCAACATCTGTCACCATACAACATTATTATAATGTTACTGACTATACTACCTATGCTGTACTTTGTGTCCCCAAGACATACTTAGATTGTAACCAGAAATTTATACCTTTTAATGCTCTTCACCTATTTCACCCATCCCTCTACCTCCTCTTCTCACCAGTTTGTTCTCCATATTTATGAATCTGTTTTTTTTGTTTTAGATCCCACATATAAGTGACATAAAACAGTATTTGCCTTTCTCTAACATATTTCACATAGTATAATACCCTCTAGGTCCATCCATGTTGTCACAAATGGTAAGATTTTATTCTTTTTTACAGCTAAGTAATATTCCTCTGTGTGTGTGTGTGTGTGTGTGTGTGTGTACCACATCTTTATTCATTCATCTATCAATCCACACTTAGGTTGCTGACTCTGTGCTTTTAAATCTCTACCCCATGCCCCCAAAAAGTGTTTACCCAGTATCTGAGCTTCATCATGTAGAGGGCCAGGAGGAAGGAGCCAGCAGCTAGCTTGGAAGCCTTCTCCTGGACATAGTCGTATTCCTGCAGAGTCATCTCACAGATGAAGCGGGACAAAGTCAGTGTCTTCATGCTGGCATGGAGACACTAAAGGTAGCAAGAAGACTGGCTCAGCAATCAATTCAGAAAAGCAGCACCAAGCAGAAGATCCCCTGTACTCACACTCTCCAGTTATCCCACACCTCACGCCTAAATTTACCTCTCCAGCTACCATGATTCACATTAAGGACCCCACCCCCCAAAGCACAGAACCTTTAGGCCGGGGATTCTGAAATTGGCCAATAGGATTTCCTACCTTTAGAGTTTTTAACCAAATTATCCATTGTCCTTGCGGTACCCCCCCCCACCTCCTCTTTCTTTGCAAGTGATCCTTTGAAGAGCCAAAGCCCAACTGTAACTTTGCATGTGGCTCCACTCTAGAAATATCACATGCTTCAAAGGAATTTTCCTTTTCTTGTTTGAATCTTTTTTTAAAAATGATAACCTATAACACATACATAGAGAAAAGTACACCCATGTACTTGTAGAATACATAATTATAAAGTGACCTCCCCTGAAACCAATACTCAGATGAAGGAAGAGAACTTTACCAGCATCTCCCCCAAACTTCCCACATGTCCCTTCCTATCAAAGAATCTTCTCCGCACCCCCCATGCTGCCTTTACCTCAGAACTTAAAGACACACCAGGAAAATCTTCTATTTTGTTCCCCACATACACACTTCATAAAGATTATCAATCTAGGAAGCTGGATTGAAGAAGAAATTCCCCTGCCCCCACGTTGCCCCTTACCCCTTTCCTACCACTCACACAGCCACTCTGGGTATGGAGGGGACTAACCCAGTAGTGGGAGAATAAGGATGTACCTCCTCCCTCTTACCCTAGCATATCTGCGCAAGAAATGATAGGCGATGGGAATGTTGATATCAAATTTAAGAGTTTGCAGGATGCTGATTTCCATGCTGAGCATTTCATGTCGCTGATAAATATCATCACAGATATATAGGAAGTCATCCACACAGGGTGGGCAGGGCTCCTAGGGGTGGAGAGGAGAGATAGTCATAATCAGGCAAAAGGCCACTCCACTCTGCCTTGAGATAAAAGGCAGTGGGGGAGAGAAGTGAAAGATAGGAGGCAATAACATTTCCCAGCATAAACCTTCAGAGTAGCTCTGAGAGCAAAATTCTGGTTAATTTGAGTGGCCCATCTGAAAAACAAAATCAGAGACATAGGAGAGATCTTCCCCACATGTGCACCACTGGAGACAGAATAGGGCTTTTGGGGGTAGATTTTCACACTGTTAGAAGTGGCATAATATGGCATAGGAACCAGTAGCAATGATCAGTCTTTTTTTTTAGATTTTAGTTATTTATTCACAAGAGACACACACACACAGAGAGAGGCAGAGACACAGGCAGAGGGAGAAGCAGGCTCCATGCAGGGAGCCCAATGTGGGACTCAATCCCAGGATTCCAGGATCACACCCTGGGCCAAAGGCAGGCTCTAAACTGCTGAGCCACCCAGGGATCCCAATGATCAGTCTTTTAATGAGTGAAATTCTGAAACAGGCAATCTAAGGCTTACTCTGGGGGAACGGAGGAAAGACGGCCACAGAAAGCAGAGCTAGAGATGGAAAATAAGCTTGCACTCTGTTTCCCAGTCTAAGAAATGAATAGGGATGTTTGGGAAGGGGCATTACTGAGGTAGCAGGCAGTGAGAGACAGGCAGACAGGCACTAAAAGCCTAAGCAGAGACTGAGGACTGAAGAGGGTGGGAGGATACGCTTGTGGGCTACATTGGGAAGATCTAGACCAGGCCAAGGGTCAGAAGAACCCCCATCTGGGAAGCACTTTGATATGCCCTGCCTTCTGCAGGTTTGAATCTTGGTTTGGGGAAGAAGACTAGTAAGCAGGAAGACCACTGAATCTTTTATCCAGCTCTATCTAACTGTCCACCCCAACATTCTTCCCATGCCTTTCTCTGTCTATTTTGTGATCTCAGACTAGACCAACTCTCTAGTTTTGCAGACAAGAAGACTGAGGCACAGAAAGAGGGAGCCAATTGCTCTAGTTCACACAGCAATGTATCAACAACACTAGGGCAAGAAAACTCTCCCTTTCTTTGCCTGACTCACCAGTGGTTCCTTCCTCTCTTGTCTTCTCATAACATTTTCATACTTACCTTTGCAAAAGTGTTTCTGTACTTGTCAATCCTGTGAAGGGAAGACCCCTTCTCCAAAAAACAGTGGGGGCCCTTCATTCTGATAACCAGAACAGGGGTACTTCTGGTTCCCAGATTTGCTAAGAAGTACCTCTTTGCATTCTGCTCCTCCTTCTGCTTTTGGCCAAGGACCCTCAACTTCTTTTTAACCCCCATGAAGCTGAGGCATGGAGTATTTAGTACCTTAGTACTTAGTACCTTGTGATAAGCCACGAGGATGGCCCTAGGTAGGAGGACCAAATATATGAGAGAAAAAAGGAAGGAGTGAGGGAAGGAAAGGAATGAACCAGGGAGTGAGTGATCAGGCAAGGAAATGAGCCAGAGGGGAAGCAGCAAAGGAGGGGAGCAAGGGAGAGAGTAAGGGAGAAAGGGAGGGAGGAGGCTAGTGAGGGAAGAAGGGACAGAGGGAGGAAGTAAGTCAGGGAAGACAGGGAAAAAGAGAGATGGAAAGAGGATAGAAGGGAGCAAGTGATAGCAGGTAGGAGGAAGTGAACACTGGAGAGGGAGCTATCAAGAGGGGGAGCTTGGAGGGAGCAGACAATGAGGGGGAGCCAGGGAGCAAGTTAGTAGGGAAGGAAGTGAATCCCATAGGGAAACAGTGAGGAAAGAAGCAAGGGAAGGAGGGAGGAGAGAAGAAACAAGGGAAGAAGGAAATGAGAGAAGGAAGGTGGGAGGCAGCTAGAATTAGAGGGAGTCATGGTGCCAGGGTACTAGGAAGCAAGTGTGGGAGGTAGAGAGGGAAGGAGCATGTGCAGAAGGGAGAGAAAGGATGAACAGAAAAGGGAGGATGGAGAGGATGGAAGGGGGAAGTAAAAGAGGGGAAGGGAGTGCAGCATGAAAGGACTGAGGTGGGGAGTGAGGAGAGATGGGACAGAGGGAAGAGAGCAAAGGCAGGGAGAAGGGGAAGAAAGAAGTAAAGGAGGGAGGGGGAGGTAGGAGGAAGAGAATGGAAAGGGATAGAGTGAGGGAGGGTGGTAGAAGGAGGTGGCAGGAACAGAGACACAGGAGAAGGAGTGGATAGAGTAAGGATGGGAGGAGGGGAGGGGAAAACCAGTGGTGGGGGGGAGATACAACAAGGAGGAAACAGAGTTTGTAGTGAATGAGTGCACAAGGCAAGGATGGAAGAATGAAGGGAGGGATGACAGAGGCGCTGAGAGAAGGCTAGAAAAAAGAATGGAGTTAGGGAGCAAGGGTGGAAGTGAAGCAAGAGCTGCAAGAAAGGGAGGGAGAGAGGGAGACAAGTAAGAAGCAAATGAGGGGGGACTGGGATGAGGGAGGGAGATAAGGACCTAGGTAGTGAGTGAGGGAGTGAAGAAGGGAGGGAGGCAAGAATTTAAGGATAAAATGGGGGGGGGGGCAAGTGAGGGAGCACAAAAAACCCCCACAGTTCTAAAGCTCTCTGAATTCAGTAAAAGTTGCTACCTCTCTGCTTCTAAACCCTAAGGTTTCATACCAGTAGCCTATCTATGGAAAAATCACAGTTGAGCAAGATCATTTAGCATCTGAGGAAGAGGGGAAAAATAAGAGAAATTAGATGGATTACGGTTATGAAAGAAAGGCCAGCAGGGTACCTTGGTGGCTCAGTCGGTTAGGCGGCCAACTCCTGATTTTAGTTCAGGTCATGATCTGGGGATCCTGGGATCAAGCCCTGTTCAATGGGGAGTCTGCTTCAGGATTCTAGCTCTCCCTCTGCCCCTCCTTCCACTCTCTTCCTCTCTCTAAGGTGAATGGATAAATGTTAGAAAGAGTAAAAGAATGAATGAATGAATGAAAGAAAGAAAGAAAGAAAGAAAGAAAGAAAGAAAGAAAGAAAGAAAGACAGCCACTTTCTTTTATATGATACTTTAAATATAACTATTTCATCTGAACTCACTACCATCTGTAGGAAGCCGTGTTCTCTTAAATGTTGCCAGCACCCAGGTTTGGAACTGCTTTCTTATATATGCAGTTCAAGATCCCACTAGGTGGAAATGAAGTTGGTTGAAGGAAAAAGAAATGCAGGGTGGGCAGAGAATTGTGGATCAGGAGGAAGATTTACAAAGAACAATGTATTTAACTAGATGCATGCCCACCTACACACATCTTCAAAGAAGAATGAAAGAACCCTGCAGTCATCAGGAAACAAATATACCACCACTGCCACCCAAAACCAGTGCCTCTGCTAGGAAAGACACAAAAAAAGGTAGGAAATCTTATTTGTGGGTATATATATGTAATTATACACACACACACAGGTGCATATATATGCAAATGTAAATGCATGTGTATGTGTGTAGATACATGTATGGGATACACACACATATATGTACATATATACACATATATATATATACATACATATATATTGGACTTGGATAGAAACCGGATTAATTTTCTCCAGGCTCTGTGAACTCAGACTCACCTCAAATTTTGCTGCAATCAGAAATGCAGTGGAACCAAGGAGTTGTAGCTTATCCCTCTTGCATATTACCTCCATAAGGTAGTGATCCACCAGTTTTACTGCCAAGTACAGGGTCTCGTGACTCATCTCAAAGGTCATCTGGAGGAATACACAAACAGGAATCTGCCATACCATCCCACCCCAATGTCACATCCAGTAGATAGAACTACCTGGTCTGTGGCATTGAGGACAGTAGAACTACCAGACCTGGCCAGCTGAGACTCAGCTATGAATTGTGGGAACTGCTTCAGCTAGGTGCCTGGCTAGATCTCCTGTGCCTTTGAGGACGCTGGCATTATCTATCCCTACACATTTAGGTAGATGACCAGTCTTATAAATCAGAGAGATGCTCTGCCTTCTCTTTGAGCACCTTGGGTGAACACACCCTCTTCCCTTGAGCTACAATACTTAGGTTCTTGCTCTCCCCATTTGTTACTACATTATACAGTGAACTCTCCCAAAGAGATCATGTCATTTACCTCTAAAATACAGAGACCTGTTTATTATTCGTTTACTAGTGTCTCTTCCCAAATAGATATGCTATTAGAAGATACGGATTGGGAGAAAGGACCAATAGCACCATTTGAAAGTGAGCTGAGGGAGAAGCCAGAATGAGATTAAAGCATTAGTAGTATAATCCTCCTTCCCTTTTTTCTCTTATCTATCCTTGCCTTGGCTTTGCCAACTCCAAGAAACCACCTCCTGTAATTCTAGACCCAGTGTTAGTTCTGGCCTATATGGCACCTTTGTGCATATTAGGGAAAAAAGTGACTTCTTTGGGTGAATGCAGCCCTGCAGGCACAAATTTTATTAAGTAAACTATACCTTTATATGAATTAGCAAAAGGTGCCCCTGCCTCAAGGCAGAGCAGCTCCACGGCCAGAATGTACAGCTTGACAAATGGTATGAGCTAGATTCCATCATCCACTTTTGTCTTGCCTAGAAACCTTGTGTAGACACAATCTGCATTACACACAAGGGTCCTACCCAATCCTCTGTAATGTGTCTTCCTCTCAATCCCTTAGGTTCTTAGATTCAAGAGCAACAAAATCTACACTAACCCGACACTTCAACCAATGCAGGAATCTTCTCTTTAATGTCTCCCCCAAATACTGTTCAGTTCCTGCTATAGAACCTCCAAATACAGCTCAATCTGTCTTTGAATGGTTTTAATGGAAAATTCTTCCTTATACTGAGTTGAAATCACCTTCCGGGTAAAATTTGCTTACTTCATTGGGCCTCCTTTTATATAGGCTATGCTTATTGACTGAAGCCTAGATGTTCAAAAAGTAGGTCAGTAAGAAGCATCAGAGGAATGGATGTATATTTGCATAGGTGAATGATTATCAGAAGATGGCTGAAGACATGAGGTCAGCAACAGATGCACTGAATTTCTGAATAACAGAAACACTAAGAAGCTGTTCTTAGTCTTCCTGAGATATGGCTTTGAATTTTCTCAGAAATCCATCCTTATCAGTTTCCTATTGCAACGTAATAAATTACCACATACTTAGTGGCTTAAAACAACACATATTCATTATCTCACAGATCTCAAGGTCAAAAGTCCAAAATGAGACTCACTGGACTAAAAAAAACAAAAATTGAGGTGTTCACAGGGCTGTGTTTCTTTCTAGAGGTTCCAGTAGAAAAATCCTTCTTCTAACTTCCACAATCTGCCCACATTCCTTGGTTTGTGGTCCCTTCCATCCCCCAAGGCCAGCAATGGCCAGTAGAGTCTTTCTCACACTGAATTACTCTCTGCCTCCCTCTTCCACATTTAATAACCTTTGTAATTATATTTCGTCCACTTGGATAATCCAGGATAATCACCCTATCTTTATTTTAAGATCTTATTTATTTATTCATGAGAGACACACACACACAGAAAAGCAGACACAGGCAGAGGGAGGCCCCATGCAGGGAGCCTGATGTGAGACCTGATCCAGGGACCCCAGGATCACACCCTGGGCCAAAGGCAGGTGCTAAACCACTGAGCCACCAAGGGATCTCCATAATCACCCTATCTTAAATTTAGCTGTTTACAATCTTTTTTTTAAATTGTTTTTATTTATTCATGATAGGCACATAGTGAGAGAGAGAGAGAGGCAGAGACACAGGCAGAGGGAAAAGCAGGCTCCATGCACTGGGAGCCCGATGCAGGACTCGATCCAGGATCTCCAGGATCGCGCCCCGGGGCCAAAGGCAGGCGCCAAACCGCTGCGCCACCCAGGGATCCCAGCTGTTTACAATCTTATTTCCATATTCTATCTTAATTTCCCCTTGCCATGTAAAGTAACATTCTAGGTTCTGGACGTGAACATATTATTCTGCCTATCACATCTTCCAAAGGAATGTCATAAGAAAGAGATGGAGAGAGTTCATGCAGATGAAGGGTAATGATTAGCATCTTAAGGATCAAGAAATTGAGGTCAAATAATTACCAAAAAAAGACAATAAGAATGGAAAGTAGCAGTTCTCCAAGGATGATAACCTCTGTGAATAAATGACAAAGCCAATGCTTGTATAGCCTCCTTCCAGTATCTCTCCTAGGCACTTGGCCACCCATGTAACTAACACATTTTATGAAATGGTAACATCTAAAGTATAGATAGTATCTGAATGAACAGTTGAAATCTGGAGGCAATAAATATTCCAATCAGCAGCAGTGTCAGTTATAGCAATCCTCCTTCCTTGAATAGAAGACAGTATTCTACTAACAATTCTACCACTCAGAACTACATAGAGCAAGTCTAATTGTTCTTGTGACAGCCCTTTAGCTACTGAAGACAGTTACCATGATTCCCATAAATTTCCATTCTAGACCAAATAACTAGACTTCCTCTGACTATTCTTCACATGATATGGTTTTCTGTCCCCTCAGCCTCAGGCTCCAAATGAGGAGCCTAACTTGGTGCCAGTTAGAGAAAAGCAGCAGTGATCTGGATAATTCAAGCAGCTACAACAAAGACAAGAAACCTTTCAGCCCTGTAAGCAAGGGTCTCTCCCTCACAGCTGCCTTTGGCTAGCACATCCTTCTAATGCTTCATAAATGCTCCTTCTAATGCTCCTTATCTGGGGATGGGTAAGAAGAAACAAAAGGGAAGTAATAAATAAATAATGACGGAAAATATAAATATTACTCTTAGCAGCCACTAGAAATGACAAATACCCACCATTTGCTTCGACGTGGATGGAACTGGAGGCTGTTATGCTGAGTGAAGTAAGTCAGTAGGAGGACAATCATTATATGGTTTCACTCATATGGGGAATATAAAAGATAGTGAAAGGGATTATAGAGGAAAGGAGAGAAAATGAGTGGGAAAAATCAGAGAGGGTGACAAAACCTGAGAGACTTCTAACTCTGGGAAATGAATAAGGGGTAGTGGAAGGGGAGGTGGGTGGAGGCAATGGGGTGACTGGGTGATGGGCACTGAAAGGAGCACTTGATGGGATGAGCACTGGGTGTTATACTATATGTTGGCAAATCAAACTCCAATAAAAAATATACATATAAAAAAAGGAGGAGACAAACTTGACAAAACTTATCTCAAATTCCAAAACTCAATAGACCATCTTCTGCAAAGATGAATAAATGGAGAAAATCACCCATTTATATGAAAAAGAACAAGTAATTTTTCAAGGAGAAACGTTCTGAGAAACCAGAGCAAGTATTTACTTATGAAACCTTTTCACTTCAAAGAACTGAAATAAACTTGTAAAAAGTATACTCTCAACAATATCCGAGAGGACACTGAATCTATGAAGAGAACATACCAGGATTCAGAAAGACTGGTTTCTGATGGAAAAGCAATTACTTAATTAAAAATGTAATAGAGTAAGTGAATAGTACATTAAGTTATGACAAATCAAATCAATGAATCCAAAGGCTGCTTTAAGAAATTCTCCCAGAACTGAGAGGTATGAGAGAGTTGAAGATAATGAATGAAAACCTGAGACACAAGAATAGATTCTGGAGATGCACATGTGCACACACACACATACACACTTAGAATGAGATAAGAGGCGAAGAGAAATAATAAATAATAGGTAAAAATTTCTCTGAGCCAGTCTCTCCTCTAGTCATCCAAGATGCTGAAAGGAAAGAAGGCTAAGCAGAAGGTAGCCCCAGCCCCTGCTGTTGTGAAGAAGCAGGAAGCCAAGAAGGTAGTCAATCTTCCATATTAGAAAAGGTCCAAGAATTCTGACATCAGACAGGGCACCCAGCCCAAAAGGGTCCTCACTTGCTTTGTCAAATGACCCCACTACCTCCAGCTGCAGCAGCAAAGAGCTATTCATTATAAACTTCTAAAAGTGCCTCGGGCAATTAACCAGTTCATCCAGGCCTTGGACCACCAAACGGCTACTCAACTGCTTACACTGGCTCACAAATACAGATGAAAAACAAAGCAAGAGAAGCAACAGATTGTTGGCCCAGGCTGAGAAGAAAGCTGCTGGCAAAGAGGATGTCCCCACTAAGAAGCTGCCTGTTCTTCAAGCTGGGATTAATACGTTCACCACCTTGATGGGAAACAGGAAGGCTCAGCTGGTAGTGATTGCACATGATGTGGATCCCATTGAGCTGGTTGTCTTCCTGCCTGCCCTGTGTCTTAAGATGGAGGTTCCCTATTGCATTATCAAGGGGAAGGCCAGGCTGAGGTGTCTGGTCCACAGGAAGACCTGCAGCACTGCCGCCTTCACACAGGTTAGCTCAGAATACAGAGTAGTTCTGGCTAAGCTGGTGGAAGCTCTTGGGACCAATTCCAATGACAGGCATGTTGAGATCCACTGTCACTGGACAGGCAATGTCCTAGATCCAAAGTCAGTGGATCGCACTGCCAAGTTGGAAAAGACAAAGGCTAAAGAACTGGCTACCAAACTGGGCTAAGTGTATGCTGCTGAATTTTCTGTACATAAAAGTAATAAAAAGTTATCTTTCAAAAAAAAAAATTCAGGGGCACCTGGGTGGCTCAGTGGTTAAGCGTCTGCTTTTGGCTCAGGCCCTGATCCCAGGATCCTGGGATCAAGTCCCACGTCAGGCTCTCCACGGGGAGCCTCCTCCCTCTGCCCCTCTGCCTATGTCTCTGCTTTGCTCTCTGTGT